ACACACACACACACACACACATACACACAGGACTCATCAACTAGGCCAGAAGTGTGTCTGACATTATACATTGGGAGTGACCAAAGCTTAAGGTCGGTAGGATTTGAGGAGAGAGGACTTTGAGCCATCACTGCGTATTTCCTGCACATACACACAAATAAGGAAACATAGGCACACACAAACACACACAAGCACATGCCTACAGGTTGAGAAATGACTGGAACCAACCAAATCACATGATGCCTTGTCAAAATTGGGAGATTCTGATTTCATGTACAGCATGTGGAAAGTGTATACCAAGAACGTGTAGACGTAACATTGCTATGGAGGCCTTCAGTTTGTATGAAAGTGCATCTGATGAAAATATGGCAAGTTTGACGTCACCGAATGATGAATCTGACGAAACGGACCAACCTGGCTGGGCAATCCACATGACGACAATCGTCTCAAGGTTGCGAGAATGTCGTTTCTGTCGCATGAAGTTTTCGCCGGATGCGAAGAGGACGGCCTCGGAGGCAACTTGGACACGAATGGTTCTGTAAAGACAAGCGACAACCGTCGACTTGTGGAGCAAATGGCTTCACAATCATTTCATCAGATGCAACTTCAGCGGAACCTGCAAGTGGGCCGAACAGTGAGACAGCAAGAGATTCTTCAAAATCCGACCATTTTTTGTACATGATTCTTGCACAAACATGACCACTGCTCTTCTATAAACGTCTTTTCTGCGACAAACGCAAACTCAGCGAGCTCGAAAGAGATCGCCTCGGAGACTGCGTCGACGAGAATGACGCAGCAAAAGCACAAGAAATCCCATATTTCTTGTCTTCGAGGCTTTCCATCGCGCACATCTTCACTCGACATGTCAACGACTGCCAGTCAGGCCTGCGGTGCAGAAGGAAGAGCAGCTCCCGGCGGGACTCGAGCCCAGACGCAGCGATGAACTGATCGGCGATTGGTCGGGCACAGTCAATCAGCTGACTGACCCGTACCGCGTGTCTGTCGAGGGGAAACGGGGCAGGGTCGGGACGACGAGCTGTCTCGACCGGATTCGGGTTGCAGGACCCTGAATCCACTCGAAATCAAGAGGCAGCGATTGCACGATACCAGCCGCCGCGTGGCTTCTAGTGCCGTTGCTACCGGCGGTTGTTAGGGTCGTCATGAGGCGTGGGCTCGAGTCCGGCTCGACAAAGAGGGGAGCGGGCGGGCTCAAACGGGGGATTTGCAAAAGGAAATGGAAGTTTCTGGACCTGGTGGGTGGAGTTGGTGCGTGCAATGAGGCGGCCAATCATGGGCGCCAGGCTCGAGTCCCGCCGAAGGCTGTGGGCGGAGGGAAGGCCCGGCGAGAGGCAGAGGCGAGCTCGGCCTGCTCCCGGCGGCGTCGAGTCGAGTCGCGTCGACCGAAACACCCCAACCAATGTCCCGCCTGCAACAGGACTCGAACCCTGAGCGGGTGGAAGGACAATTGGTCGTGCGCAAGTTCCGTCAGCGTCTCTTTCGCCCAATTGAGCTGGTCTGAACCGGTTTTCGCAACTCGGTTGTGTCGTCATGACGACCATATAGTGCTAGCGAGTCCCGGCATTTGACCGTGAACTCGACAGCCTCGCAGACGTGTCGCGGGCATCTGCAACTCGTCGTGTCGCTTTGACGATGCCGGCGAGACGTCGCCTTAAACAGCAGCGCCCGGCACCTGTTGCGGCCTCGCGGCAGCGGGACTCGAGCTCGGGGCCGGCGGAAAGAGCGGCTGATCTGAGTGGTACCTTTTGTTGTCTTTCAGGCGTGAACTGCGAGCACCCGGACCCGTGCCATCTGCAGCCCTGTCGGAACGGAGCAACGTGCCAGGCAGACGCGTTGGGCAGATTCCACTGCCGCTGTCCGGACTGGTACGAGGGCGTCACATGCGATGTGGTAAGTGACCCCCGCTCCTCCTCCTCCTCCTCCTCCTCCTCCGCCCCACCCCCCACAGCGGGTCTCGCGGTTGAAGACCGCCATGAGTCGACTTCACGGCCGGACGGATGCTTTGCTCATGCGCCTGGCGGTCGAGTCCCGCTTGAGACCAGTCGACAAAGTCTCCCAAGTAGACAACATGTGAGAAGGTATTGAAACACTCGAAGCGGGAGAGCTCGTTGAAGCGTGTTCAAGGACTGCAAGTCGACTATTTCCACACGAAATGTCATCTCATCCCGTCTCGATTGGCCTTTCAACCTCGGCCCATCTCCATCCGTTGCCACAACGTCACCTTCACAGTAGCCCGTGCCTCTCCCAGATTGCCTATTTTGCATGCTTGTTGGGATTACTTCCATTTCGAGTAGAAGTGTTGCGTGAAGAGATTCGAAGCTCGGTTCCACCAGAAGACGACCAGCTGTCGATTGTCTTTACTGCAACATTCATGCTGACGCTGTTTCCGAGGCAATCTCG